AGAAACTCAGAGAGGTTTATAACCACTTGAGGGAGAGTAAATAATGAGTACATTTTCACTTTTGGGTGAACTATCCCTTAAAAACCCAAAGGTAAATTAGTTTTAGAGACAGGAAACTCTGCAGTTCATCAACAAAACTATTTCCATATTACACAGCAAACACTGAAGGCACAATAAAGTCTATACAAATGCAAAAAGAACAACTTAATGCGCTTTAATTTGGTTTTCTGGAATTTTTGCTCCATATGTAACCTAGACAGCTTTCTGAGGCAAAAGCAGATGCTGATATATTTAACATATATTAAATATTAGAGGTAATATTTCTAACTGCACTGCAAAACATGTGTCATGTTTCTAGTCCAATTATCTAAAAACTTTTAATCAAGAAGCATTTTCTAGAGAAACAAACAATATAGTGGTGTTTTCAGAAATAATGAGTCAAATTGAAGAGAGTTTTTCCTGAAAACAAGCAAAATAATCAGACAATAATTAAATAATCTTCATTTTAAAGCAAAAACAATATTAACTTGCGCAATTAGCAGAATATTTAGTTTGTTTTATTATAAAAGTCACTGATTATTTTGACTTGATTTTCTTTGAAAGTAAGACTTTACTATTTGCTTGTCTAGAAAATGCTTCTTGGTGTAAGATTGTTTAGATATTTAGACTCGAAACTCTTAATAAGAAAAGCATTTTAGATACACAATCCCCTTCTGAAGGCAGAAAGATGGAGAGAAACATCTGGAGATGTCCTCTAGCTGCTCACAGACTGAAAGATATCAAATTCTCCATCACATCACAGCAAAGCAGTAAATAAAGTGGACGTGTGCAGCAGTGTGCCATGATGGTTTGGGACTCAGCTGTGCTGGAATGCAGGTTTGTTTGCCCAGGCAGATTTTTTCCCAGTGAACGAGCTGAATTATGGACGTTAAAGCAAGACATCCAGAACGGCTGGACTGAAGCCACCACAAAAGCTTTTATTTATTCACTACTGGCAATGTCTGACTCTGTCCCTTCTTTCTTTTGTAGTCACACTGGATCAATGCTTTTCTTCTGAGAGTTTGTGTCTTGTTTCTAGTCTAAATATCTAAAAACTTTTAAATCACGAAGCTTTTTTTAGACAAGCAAAACATATAGTCTTGTTTTCAGAAATAGTGAGTCAAAATGAAGTGAGTTTTTCCCTAAAACAAGCAAAATAATCTGTCAATGGGGAAAGAAAAATATGGAGCTAGATCAGTCTCAAAAATAATACACTTACACACGAAAATGCATAGTACATGTATGGGAAATCCAATTACAGGAGCCATAAACGCACAAATCCAATTCGTAAATTCAAAATGCAATTCATGAAGTACAAATACAAATTTGTAAATTCAAAACAATACTTAAATGCACAAGTCCTATTTGTAAATTAAAAACTCATTCCGAAAATGCATCAATAGAATTATTAAATTCTAAACGCAATTCATAAACGCACAGATTTAATTTAGTAAATTGAAAACTTTATTCATTAATGCACTAATCCAATTTCTTACATTTTAAACGCAATTCATTAATGCAATAAATCCAATCTGTAAATTCAAAACGCAATTCATAAATGCAAAAAAATCTAATTCATAAAATCTAAACGCAATTATTAAATGCACAAATCCAATTCGTAACTTCAAAACACGATTCATAAACGTACAAACGTACAAATCCAATTCGTGAATTTAAATTGCAACTCATGAGTACAAAAATCCAATTCATGAACTTAAAACGCAATTCTTAAACAGACAAATCCAATTAGGAGATTCAAAACTCAATTTAAAAATACTTAAATCCAATTCGTAACTTCAAAACACAATTCACAAACGCACCAATCCAATTCGTAAATTCATTCATTCACTCATTTCTTTTTGGCTTAGTCCCTTTATTAATCTGGGGTCGCCACAGCGGAATGAACCGCCAACTTATCCAGCATGTTTTTACGCAGCGGATGACCTTCCAGCTGCAACCCATCACCGGGAAACATCCCCACACGGCTACGGACAATTTAGCCTACTCAATTCACCTGTACCGCATGTGTTTGGACTGTGGGGGAAACCGGAGCACGGGGGGAAATCCACGCAAACACGGGGAGAACATGCTAACTTCACACAGAAACACCAACTGACTCAGCCCAGGCTCAAACCAGTGACCTTCTTGCTGTGAGGCGACAGCGCTACCTACTGTGCCACTGCGTCGCCACCAATTCGTAAATTTAAAACGGAATTGAATTCTTGAATGCAAAAAATCCAATTCGTAACTTCAAAACACAATTTATAGACGTAAAAATCCAAATCACAACTTCAAAACACAATTCATAAATGCACAAATCCAGTTCATAACTGCAAAACGCAATACTTAAATGCAAAAAATCTTCAAAATGTAATTCATAAACATGCAAATCCAATTCGGAAATTAAAAACGGAATCCATAAATGCAAAAAATTCTAATTTCACAATGCTATTTATAAATACACAAATCTAATTTGTTAATGCAAATGCAATTAATAAAATGTGCATGCATGAATTTATTCTGCAGATGTGTTATTTTTGAGACTTATATGGCTCCATACAAATAGTCTTCTTTCAAGGCCAAAACAACATTATTTCACCCACCCCATAGTCAGATTATTCTGCTTGTTTTACTGATAAACTCTCTTCATTTTGACTCATTATTCTGAAAACAGCACTATATCGTTTACTCTAGTAAATGCTGACTTATTGAAGGGTTTGTGGATATTTGGACTAGAAACAGGACAGAAGCTCTAAGTAAGAAAGGCATTGTTTTGCAGTGCAGTAGCAATGCTAAATGCTGTTTGAGAAGAGGAATGTGTTTTTAAGACTCACCCCGTCATCAGGGATCCCATCATTGTCATCATCATGGTCACAAGCGTCTCCAATGCCGTCTTTGTCGTAGTCTTCTTGTCCAGAGTTGGGAAGGTCAGGGCAGTTATCCTGAAAGAGGACGTGTGTTCATAGTTTTGAAGATTTTCACATGCTGCGGCACAATTCACACTCTCTCTGTGCTAAACCGTATTGGAAAACAGTAATAGTGCATCCCAATTTGCATCAGTGACGTCCTAAAGGTTAAATGAACACAGTCAAACATACCTTCTTGCAGTGGTAAGTGGCGTTTTCCACACAGTGTAGGTCTGTGTTGGGCCAGCCGTCCAGATCTGGATCCTCCCCACAGATGTGGCCGTTCCCGGCGTATCCAGGTTTACATTCACAGCGGAACATGATGTCTGAGAAGATGCCCAGGTAGATGCAGTTGGCGTTTTTATTGCAGTCATGGCTGCCGTCAGCACATGGGTTTCTTGGTGTGCAAACCTGCCGAGAAAACAATTTAACCCCATTTACATTAGTCAGTCATTCTTAGCAGACACTTAAGATAGATTTGAACCCCTTAACCATTAAACGTTGACTTCACTATATAGCAATTCAATCCTAATCTAATCATCACAAATTCACTCATTGGGAAGGTACACATACATACTTTACCACTAAGTTTAGTTTTGTGTAATAGATCAAAACTCATTTATTGTCACTCGACAACCTGTGGGACTGTTTGCACCTACATTTTAGACCATCATATTGGTGTATAAACACAAAGCAATCATGATAAACTACCTATCTATCTATCTATCTATCTATCTATCTATCTATCTATCTATCTATCTATCTATCTATCTATCTATCTATCTATCTATCTATCTATCTATCTATCTATCTATCTATCTATCTATCTATCTATCTATATAATTTAAAAGCCTAATATGTCTAGATAGATATTAATGTGATCAGCATACTCAGAGTCGTAAAGCGTTACTTTGCTACAGAAATCCACATGTAAAATCATTTAAACGTTTTAAAGAGTGAATTCATATCAAATATTAGCAACCTGTTTGATACCTTTTTAAACAAATATTGTCAAAAGTATGAACAAATATGGTTCATATTCCTCTAAACATTCACAGAAATAGAGGACGCCCTCATATGATCACCAATGGAAACTGAAGGTCACCTGGTGGTCATGTCTGGTACTGCAGCCAAACTAAACCCTACTGAAAGCACATTGGAGATATCAAGTTCAAATTAGGAAAATAACATGTGCAGATATTTAGCTTTGATTGTCTGTCAATGTTAGGATTAAATACATATTTTTATTTATTATTATAAAATACAGATTTATTGTTTTATTTTTTATAAACTTGAAGGGACTTTTGTTTTCTAAAATTGTTTGAACTTTTTTTCCAATTTAAGCTGCAATCTGACTTTGGTCTTCTTTAAAATGAGACCAAGCTGAAATCTGTGCACCAAAGCATTGAAGATTGATCATCTTTTGATTGTTGAACAGGCAATATTTTTACATCCTTGTTCAAAACGCTGGGCTGACAGTTAAGGGGTTAGAATAGTCGAACAGGATAAACAATAAAAAACTAGTCTGTACTATCACTTGTATTGTTAGAGACTGCTCAAACCTGTTTGTTGGCAATGGCCTGTTCTGTGCCTCTGCCGTACGGCTGCTGTCCTGAGTATCGCGGTGGGCACGGCAGACAGTTGTATCCCGGTTCTGTGTTCTCACACTGATGGACTCCATTCAGAACAAAGCAGGCGTCTGGAACTTCTTTGCACTACAGAAACAACATTATAGAATATTAAGAAACACCAATAGATATGTTTTACACACAAACTTACCTGCAAAACTGGAATATAGCATAACACATGAGTTAATAAAGCAGCATTTTAAAATCATCACCTCCTAAACATGCACAGATATCACTGGTGTTTGTTCACCTCAAATAAATGAGCCTCAGAAGACCAAGAGCAAACACAATGAACACTGTGGCTTTTGGAGGCATGAGACGGGAGCGCAGACAGATGCTCAAGACACTTGTGGAGGGAATATTAATAGAAGAAGAATACTGAAGCACTGTGATGACGCACTGACGGAGGACTGAGGCCTTTTACAACCAGCCACTACCTCTTACTTCCTCTTATTTCCTCTAATCTTCATTCCCTCTGAAACACTTTCCAGAACCTTTTCTTTTACAGTTCCTCACTGGTGGAATGGTCTCTCCAGTCCCATACAGACTGCTGGATCAGCAACATTCAAAATAAAAAACACTTTTCTTAATCCACACCTACTCGAGCTTATGTTTGTCTAACAAAGCTAAGTGGAAGCATTGTATTAGTAGCCCTTGATGTGAGTTCTGTCTCTTTAAGATGAATCACTTGATTTAAAGACCCTGACACCAACCTCTTTTCTGGTTGTTTATGTTTACCTGTTACACATAAGCAAAGTTCTCACCTCATCGATGTCCTCGCAGTGTGTCCCGTCTCCAGTGTACCCAGCCGGACACTCTCCGCAGCTCCAGGAGCCATCAGGAAAGCTGTTGCATTTGGCTCCACTGAAGCACGGGTTCGAGAGACAGCCGTCTACAGGACAGGACTGAGCGTTGCACATTCGGGCTGCTTTGGAGTCACCCACACAATCTTTTCCACCATATTTTGGAGCGGGGCTGTTGCACAGGCGGTGTCTGCGCTGTAGCCCTCCACCACAGCTGACTGAACAACTGTCCCACAGAGACCACGGACCCCAGCCACCGTTCACTGACACACCAGGAGGAATAATGCGTTATTTCAGGCTTTTAGAAATGAAACTGTATATCTGCCACCGATATTTATCTGTTAATATTGGATTAAAATGAAATCTATCACCAATAACATGTAGTAGTTTATGCACTTGACTAAAATCGGTACCAGACCAAAGTTGTCAGGTACATCTAAATTTTTTGCAATTAACAAATATCGGTATTTATATTGGTTTAAATTTTTGTACCATTCGGCATCTGTAGTTAATGGAATTGAGAAATATTGGTATGCGATGAAAATAGTTTCAGCCAGCGCGTCTGTATTTCATGCAATTGACAAATATCTGTATCAATATCAGTCGAAAGTTTTGCACCAATCAGTGCATCTGTAGTTTATTCAATTGACAAATATCGTTATCAATATCGGTCGAAAGTTTTGCACCAATCAGTGCATCTGTAGTTTATTTAATTGACAAATATCGGTATCAATATCAGTCAAAAGTTTTGCACCAATCTGTGCATCTGTAGTTATTCAATTCACAAATATCGGTATTAATATTAGTTGAAAGTTTTGCACCAATCAGTGCATCTGTAGTTTATTCAATTGAAAAATATCAGAATCAATATCAGTCAAAAGGTTTGCACCAGTGAGTGCATCTATAGATTATTCAATTGACAAATATCGGTATCAATATCGGTCAAAAGTTTTGCACCATTCAGTGCATCTGTAGTTTATTTAATTGACAAATATCGGTAACAATATCGGTCAAAAGTTTTGCACCATTCAGTGCATCTGTAGTTTATTCAATTGACAAATATCGGTATTGATATGGGTCAAAAATGTTGTACCTATCAGTGCATCTGTAGTTTACGCAATTGTCAAACGTTGGTATCCGATGAAAATAGTTTCAATCAGGGGCCCTGTATTTCATGCAGTTGACCAATATTGGTATCGGACGAAAGCTTAATTCCAATCAGTGCATCTATTGTTTATCCAATTGAACAATATCGGTATCGATATCAGTTAAAATTTTTGTACCAATCGGCATCTGCAGTTTATGGAATTGAAAATATTAGTATCCAATGAAAATAGTTTCAATCATTGCATCTGTATTTCATGCAATTGACAAATATCGGTATCAATATCGGTCGAAAGGTTTGCATCAATGAGTGCATCTGCAGTTTATTGAATTGACAAATATCGGTATCGAAACCGGTTGAAAGTTTTGCACCAATCAATAATGAATTCGATGAAAATAGTTTCAATTAGTGGCCCTGTATTTCATGCAATTGACCAATATCGGTATCGGACGAAAGTTTTAATTCCGATCAGTGCATCTATAGTTTATGCAATTGACCAATATCGATATCACTGAAGGTTTTTTTTTCAATTAGTGCATCTCTAGCTCTTGCTATTGACTAATATTAGTATCGGAACAGGACAAAAGTTTTGTTCCAGTTAGTGCATTTGTGGTTCATGCAATTGACCAATATCGGTTTTGCATGAAAGTCTTGTTTCAATCAGTGCATCTGTAGTTTTTAATTTAGCATCTGAAACACTTAATATTGCTGAACGCTCACCTGGGCACGGGTCTTGCTGGCAGGGTTCAGTCTCGCGTCCTTCTCCTGCGCAGTCTCTGCCGCCCATCTGCGGTGTCGGGGAGTTGCAGAGCCGGATGCGAGTGATGACGCCGTCGCCACAGGACACTGAGCAGGAGGACCAGGGAGACCAGTGGCTCCAGCTTCCGTCCTGCTTAACTGCATGAATACAAGAATAAACATTGAAGATTTGCTGGATATCAGACATCAGAGCTCGGCAGAATCACCAAAAATTCTATTTCATGGCATGAGTCAGTTTAAGTGCTGGGCGAAGATTAATCGTCGTTAATCGCATCCACAATAATGGTTAGTATATACATAACACATATGTGTGTGCACGCTTATGTTTGGGAAAATAGTTATATTGAGATTTAAATAAATATGCATTTGATACAAAATGATGTAAATGTTTTTATTTTGTATTTGAGTGTGAATTCTTTATAGATAATTACCAACACACATATATTACATTAAAAAACTTTGATTTAGGATCTGATTAATCTTGCCTAACAGTTTTATTTCACAGTAATGAGATATTTCAGAATATAAAGTTATTTCAAGAGTTCACACTTAGCTGATGATTGATAATAAAGCTAGTTTGGCGTGCTGTCCCGGGAGAGAGCCCTGAGCTTATAAGATCCTCGAGCCCTGGGCTCCCTCCCGTTGCAAGGCGAGAGGGGAGTTTGAGCTCCGCTAGATCTCGATGACTCCCCCTCTTGCTTGTTGTAGCTAAGTGTCAGATATGGATGCTGAAAGGTGTACTCAGAGTTTAGCTAATGTATTTTGATTAATTGTTCAGAGTGCTTGTTTTTGAACTGTGGGAGGAAACCGGAGGACCCGGGGAAAACCCACGCGACCATGGGGAGAACGAGCAAACTCCGCACAGAAATGCCGTCTGGTTTGGAAAGGAATTAAAGCAGGGGCATTCTTGCTGTGAGGCAACAGCGCTAATCACTTGCCACCGTGCCGCCCGTTTTAAAGGAGGGAAAGTAAGGTTGGGTGGGGGGGTTTCTTCAAGACGAATATATTGCGATGAGAAAAGTCTGGTTATTTATAGTGAGTTAAGGATCGTCTGATAGGATAATCAGTCATTAGCTAAAGTTGGAACAGCTGTAAACAATCATAAGCACGTGATCCTCTCGAAATTTGTTTATGAATAAACTTCACTTAAGGAGGTAGTTATTCCAGAAAGTCAACAGAAAGGGGAATAATAAATCAACTTAATGACATTTTCGGTTATTTGGGTGTTGTTAAATCCTGTAGTGATGCACAATACTGGGTTTTTCACGCTGACTTCACACTCTTGTCTGTTGTGATGCCAGTATCTTTCCTGTGTGTGTGTGTTTGGCAAGTGTAGATTTGCAGAATTAAACTCACAGCGTTTGTCACACTCTTGCGTGTAGCAGTCTCTGGTCTGTACTGATGTGCCGTCGCAGTTGCTGTTGATTCGGTCACAGGAGCGACCGCGCTGTTGAATCCCTCGACCGCACGACACCGAACACATCGTCCATTCAGACCAGGGGGACCAGCCGTCAATACCTGCATCGCTCACTGGAGGAGACAAGCACAGAGTATCAGACTGCACATCCAGATGCACATCAGATTTATCTGCTAAGCTGGAATATTGCATAACACATGAGTGAGTGAAGCAGCGTTCATATCCAAAACATAAGAAGAATCTTCGCTTCATTGTAGAACAGGGGTTTGTTCTGGAGACAATCCAACACTAATATTGCTGAAGGGGCCAATAATATTGAGCTGAAAAACAATTGAAAACTGC